TGATGCAGAACAAAGACAATCAATACATGTTTTCTCATGAACATCTAGAGACTCCCTTGGTCTCATATCAAAAGGGCATTTCTTTGGTTACCTGAAGAAAAACATCAGGGACAACTGGTTCCCTAGGTATAGCTCATTCTCTAACATGATCAATTATTTAAGACAGCACAACATTTGGTAACAATTAAGCACTCTATTGACCTTTCCTAGTTTCAGAGTGGGCGTGAAAGTCCTATTCTATATTTTATTACTAAAATCAGCCTATATAAAATTTAAATTAAATCAATCAATAAATAAATAAATAAAATCAGCCTATGTCCTTAGCACTGAATTAACTTGGCTAATTTATCAATTACTTCAAAGTGGCCTAAAGCAACTCATCAAATCTATGTTAGTTCTACTGAAGTCTAACTCTAAACTAGAATACCTAACATCCACATGGCCTGTGAACTATTGACCTTTCGCATACACCAGGGAATGTACTGCTGCCACAAACACGTGCCCCCTGTGTTAGGCTACGGTTTCCAAGCACAGCTGGTTCAGGGCAGCTTGTTCTCCACAGTTCTCAGGGCCAAAACATTTCTTTCCTGTCTATACCTTCCAGCATTTTTTACTTTCTTTGATAATGATTCATGCATAAGAAAAATAACCCTCTTCTCCGGAGTACAGGAAACCCCTCTTCTCCGGAATTTCCCCCAATGCCCGAACCTTGTCAAGAGACAGCATGGGTTGAGCAGCCTGCAGCAAAAACCCACTTAGGTGAGTATCAGATTAGTCAAATTCAGAAACAGAAGTTAGGGCCTCTCCGATGGCATAGCGGTTGAGCGCTGGGTTGCGAAGCTGCCTGCAGCCTCTGCAGCGCCAGTTCGATCCCCGGCTGCCAGGTGAGGGTCCCACATGGTGCACAGACCTCTCCTGCCACATGCTGCATCCCTCAGCAGTGTACTTCATCAGTCTGCCTGTTCTACTTTCTGCTCTGACTCTGGTGAATTCTCTTACCCTCCGATGCTTCTGACTGTACCCAGTGCTTGTATAAAAATAAATAAATCTTTAAAAAAAAAATAAAGAAACAAAAGTGAGAATGTGGTTGCCAGAAGCAGAGGGAAAAGAGGGATGGACAGTTACTGCTTAAAGGCTAGGGTTTCAGAGGGGAGGTGCCCAGCTCGCCTCCTCCACACGCTTATAACCAAATTACACCTAAGCCAAGGCAGCAGGCTGCATGCCCACAGACAGGTCGGGGTCAACAAGACGTGGTCGGTCCACACAACAGAACACTGTTCAGCCACGTGGAGAGACAAACTATTACCACTGACAACCAAATGCATGAATTGGAGGGACTCCTATTGTACCAGGGTGGTCCTCAGGGAAAGGGGAGGTTCCAGGTTCTCTGCCCCAGACCAGGAGGGAGGAGCTGTGCAGGGAGGAGGGGAAGCTGCAGAGGAGACTGGAGGAGGATGGAAGCAGGATGGAAACAGGAGGAGGCCTGGAGGAAGCACCTGGAGCAGAGAGACAGGTGAAGAGGCTGCCCTTGCTTCCTGGTCTTGGACAGGTTGAAACAGATGGGGGTTGGGGGGGAGAGACCTGGGGTGCAGTGACAGTGGCAGCTTTTTTTGAAAAAAAAATTTAGTTATTTATACAAGAACCGGGGTACAGGCCAGATGCGCGAAAGGGTGAGAGGATTCACCAGAGACAGAGTGGGGAATAGAAGAGGAAGATGGACTGAGATACACTGCTGAGGGGAGCAGCGGGTGAGACAGGAGAGGTCTGCTCGCCATGTGGGACACTCGCCAGCTGGCCGGGATTGAACCGGCACTGCAGAGGCTGAAGACAGCTTCACAGTGAGGCGCTCAACCGCCTGCACCACCAAAGAGGCCCCAACAGTGGCAGATTTTATCTTGATTTGGATGTTGCTCTTTTCCTCCCAGACTTGTCTGGCTTTTGCTGACCCTTTCCTATGGGTCCCCACCAGGGGGTGCATTAGACTGAGGCAGGCTCTCAAGACCCCAGTACACAGTGGGCAAAGAAGCCCCATAGCCACTTCTCAGAGGAGACCCCATCGCTGTAGACATGTGCAGACACTTGGACATCATTATTATTGGAAGAATAAAATGAAACGCAGGGATGAGCCTAAGCGTTGTGAGATGGTCCAAGAAAGAACATTCCATGACTCCAGAAATGCGGCAGCAGGTGGACCCAATTGACAAGAGCTGAGCTGAAGAAGCTACCAGGTGGGGCCACTGAGCAGACCCCACGCACCTCCCAGTGTGAAGACAGGGGTGGGAAACAAGGATGCCACACCCAGAAGGACAGGAAGGGGCACCAACCTCGCCAGCCAGGGAGGAACCCACATGGCAGACCTGTCCAGTCTCCCTGCTGCTCCCCTCAGCAGTGTATTCAGGCAATTTGCCTGCTCTGCGGAAGACTAGCTTTCAGCAAAATGTCAGGTCAGATGTCCCTGAAAGGGTGAGATGGTCTAGGCGAAACTTTTTTAAGGGCTGAAGGGAAGGGGAGTGAGGCAGACACAAAACACTCTTATTCTGGTGTAAGCTTCTCCTGCTGAGGGTCTCTGTGGGTCTTTATTTATATGTTAAGGCAAGTGAGGGATTACATCATCATATGCATAGAAGCAAACCAAAACAATCAGTACATTCCTTTCCCACAGACATTTTGTCCCCTATGTGTTCTTCAGAAAAGAAACAACCTTAAAAGTTAATAGATAACTAAAACTTAGACACATTATTTCAGCCTAAACAATTACCTAGGTCAGCTAACAGTCCTTGGTGCCACCCTGTCGCCAAAGCTACACTATCAGGAGACTCCTCTATCTATATGGCTTGCAGCTAGAGACCAGTTGCTTCCCAGTAATCAGTTATTAGAACTTTTTTCCATTACTTAGAGACTCCTAGCGTAATCCACTTCATGATTCATTACAAGGCTTCTCTATGGAACTTCCATGTGAGGAATATTATTATGACCAGCTTTGGGTTGTTTATCAGAAATGCCCTTGCACAGTAATTATTTCCCATTGTCAAGTGGGCCAAAGTATTCAGTGTTTAATTTTTATGCAAGTAATTTTCCATGCCATGTACTTACAATATTCTTATAATTTATTGCCCAATGTATATTCCATGAGCTTTTTTTCTTTTTATGACCAAGAACAAAAAAAAAAAAAGGATGTTTAATCTTCAGCCCCATGGTGTGAGGCCCTTTTCTTAGCTGCAGGCCAGTGTCTTACCTGGCTGGGGCAGTTAGGCCCCCTGCAGCATTTCCCCCTTTTTTGTTTATGGTCATCATTTGCATAATTTTTAACTCAATTTGTAATTGTCTAATAGCACGGAAAAGTAATTTGATAAACAATGGGAAGAGAAGTAGCATAAGCATGGTGACAAACAAAATGATACCAATAGTAATAAATGATGGGAACCAGGCAGCCTTAGTGGTGTAGTGCTGCAAAGAAGCCAGGAAGGAATCAGCAACCTCGGCAGGAGTGCAAGAGGAGACATGAGCTAAGCTAATTGCCTTGATGTCTTCCTGCAAAGCGGTAAGGTCCAGGGAAACATTTGTGTTATCCCATACACCCAACAAATGATTTTTGACATTGTTCCAAGGAATAGAAGAGGAATTATAAACATGTGGAGTAACACAGATCCATTTATAATCAGTGTGACGTTCAGTGGTCAAGTGAGTTTTGATATGCTGCATTTGATTACCAATATGTAATATAGTTTCTTCAAGGATATTCAAACGAGCCTCAAAATTTTTATCAATGCGATCTTGGACAATTAAACCATATGTGATGTTACGAGATAATTGATTAACATGTGAGGCAGTATGAACATGTTGTACAAGGGCAGTAGTAGAAACAGCAACAGAACTAATAATAGCAATAAGTGCTGTAATACCCAGTATAAGCGCCACTACAAACCTTTGAGCGCAACACAGGCCCCGTTCAGTAAGTTGAAGAGCATAAGCTCCAGTGTCATCATACCATGGCTGCTTTAGATGCACAGGAAGAACAACTTAAGGAGGCTGATGTAAAATAATAAATGTCATACTAGACCATGAAATAAAAGGAGTAATACAATGGGTCAGGATGCAACCTGTACAATTGACATGAAAGGCATGGTGATGATAAGTAACAATGTAGACTTTAAAATTAGAAAAACGTAGGGAAATAGAACCTTTTTTCCTAGAATGAACCAAAATAGTTTTTTAAGGTGGACGATGGAAGAGTCTAGTCCCCCACAGCAGGAAGGCAGTAGAGACCTGCCAGTGATCTCAACACTGGAGACAAAGCCCAGGCAGCTGCTTGTTGAGACCAGGGGCAGCCTGGCCCACCCATCCACTGCAGTGGGTTTATACTATTTTAATAAAAACCTTTTAGTCATATTATAGTTATATATTCTCATATAGTCATATCTAACCATTTTCTATCACCTTAACAATTGTGAATGAACTTTGAATACTATTATTTAGAAATACCTGATTTATTTATTTATTTGTTTGTTTGTTTGTTTATTTATTTATTTATTTAAAAAGAACAAATGGCAAAACTCTAGTGGGGGGAAACCTCTATTGGGGAGAACCTAGCCTCCTCCCCAAATAATTAACAGGAAAAGCTTGAAACATTTTTTTTATTTATTTATAAGATGATGTCACATTATCTCTTATTTGTTTTTCAATTTTTATTTTTAATCTCCTAATAATCTCAGCCCAGTCCGGGCTGGAAATCAGTTCGGATTTTGGAATGGTTTCATAATTAGGAGCCGACGCCCTAGCTAGGAGGTCTGCATTGGCTCGGGAACAATTTTCTGACCTTTGAACAACTATTTCATGATCTGAACAGTCCTGATTACTTTCTTCAACACTGTAGACTATTTTTTCTTTCACTTTTGATTTTGCCTCTTTTGTTTCGCCTTCAGACAGGCTTGGCTAGGAGCTACTGGGGCCCCAGGGCGTGGTAGAGGTAACCCATTGCTGCTGGCTGCTCCCCAGCTCCCATGGATGCTCCCATCACCCACTCCTCATGCCAGAGCTTCGAGCAGTTGAGGCAGGAGTGCCTGCGGAAGGGCACGCTGTTTGAGGACACAGAATTCCCGGCCAACAGTTCCTCTCTCTACTACAGCAAGGAGCCCGAGAGCCCCGTCGTGTGGAAAAGGCCAGGGGTGAGTTCAGCCAGAAGGTGGGGGTGGCAGGCTTGGAGCATCCAAGGACCCAGGAGAGGGCAGCAGGAGAGGGGGGAGCAGGAGGGGAGGCAAAGCACAAACCCAATCCAGGCCGGCTTCCCAGGGGAGGCCATGCAGAGTGATGGCTGGGAATGATGCTGGGAGAACATAACAGCTGGCAGGGCTGGGGGTGCTCTAAGGGGGACTCCAGGGCATCTGCTGCATCCAGCCCCCAGCAGCCTCACTCCCATGGAGGTCAGGACTCGAGTCTGACAGTGTCTTGGTAGTCAGGGAGTGGAGGTCAAGGCTATTCAGGATGAGTTGGGCCAGTCCCAGGCAACAGGTCCTCCCCAAGGGGAGAGGGTAGGAGGCAGCCCCAGCCCCCACTCCAGGAGGGTGTTCACCTGGGTGATGTATGTAAAGTGCTCAACAGCTTCTGCTCAGAGCCCAGGGTGTTCAGTGTAGACCAGGGCTCATGAAGCAAGCGTGCAGTGTCTCCATGATAGGGGGTGCATAGGAAGCAAGGGGCTGCCCAACACATCCTGTTTCCCCTTCCCGCAGTATCCATGAGCCAGTGTCCATGCCCCCCCACCCCTAACAATAGGAGGTGATGGTCCCAAGGGCCATGCGCTGCTGCCTGGGACAAGGAGTCAGTATTTGCTGTGCTGGGTTAGTCAGGGCTCAGCCTCTGACTGGGTGGTGCTGGCTGCCTTCCCTCGGGTGGGGACCCGCCTGGGAGAGCCCCCAGGGGTGGGCTGGGATGGCAAGGAACGGAGTGCAGAGAGGGCCGGGGCGCAGCTGAGACCCTGCACCCATCTGTCCAGGGACTGTGGTCACACCTGTCACACCCTGCACTCCCCACACCTCAGTCTCCTCCCTGTGAAGCTGAGACACTAGTGCCCACGGCAGACACGGCGTCCTGCTGCGGTTACTGGCATCACCATCATTTGCTCTGCATCCCACCTCCTGAAAGGCACTGGGAGCCCCATGTCTGCCTTCATGCTGTCTCCTTCATGAAAATAATGAAGATGTGTTAAATACACAGCCTGTCTATTTAAAACACACACACGATTCTGGAACTTCAGGGCAGAGTTCAAGTTAGACATGAGTAATTTATATAGTGGTAAGCTCTTTATTGCTATTTCCTGATGGAGGGTGTGTGTGTGTGTGTGTGTGTGTGTGTGTGTACTGACCTACTTACCAGTCCACCTGAATCATGTCTAAACTGCTTCTGGTCATCTAGTATTTTCCTAAACCTGACAAGGCTATCACTGAGTGCCTCAGGCTTTCTCCTGAGAAATTCTAGTTACTTCCTTCCCTCCTACTAGCCTCCCTGCCTCCACTCTTAGCCCAACAAGCCACCCTCCAGCCACCTGCGGGGCTCATGCCATCCCCTGCTCAGTGCCCTCTCTGGGGTCAGCACTACGTAGCAACAAGGCCTGGATTCCCCCAAAGGCCTCATCCTACCACAGCCTCCCCTTGTCCCGCCACCACAACACACTGTGAACATCACTCAGAATGTAGGGCATGGTGTAGGAAGCTGAGGAAGCAATGGGGTTCTCACAGGCAAGCCAGTGCCAGCCTCACAGAAGACAGGCTCTGAAGGGGGCGTCACAGGCAACAACAGCACCGATGGTTTCATTAAAACAGTATGAGTTGGAAAGAAGACACCAAGTGTGCTTGGGGGGATGAAAGCCTCCTAGGGAGGGTGCCTGAGTGTGAGACCAAGTTCCCAAGCAGAGAAGAGGCTCCTACACTGAGGGGCATGTAGGCAGAGGGGACGGAGGGGCCAAGTGATGTGACTGGCGCATCCCACCACGAGGCTGGGCTGTCCCTTTGCTTGTCCCTCCATGGGGAAAACATAATGAAACAGGAATGAAGTGTTCTGCTGCAAGAAAGGAGAGCCCGCCAGGAAGGGGCGGGAGGGCCAGGCCTCACTGACGATGCCCTCATTCTTCCAGGAAATAGTGAAAAACCCAGAATTCATTCTCGGAGGGGCCACCAGGACTGACATCTGCCAAGGGGAGCTTGGTGAGTGAGAGGGTCGTGCACGGAGAGCTGGTGGTTGGACAGACTGTTCCTGGGGGTCTGAGCTGCCGCCAAGGCAGAAGCAGCACAGGTCCCCAGCAACTCCCTGCACAGGGATGGGGAACATGACTGCTCCCATCTTCTGCTTCCCCCTCCTCCCCAGTGGCCTCCTGCTCTGCTGAAGGGGAGCCAGAGGACTCACATCCCTGGCGCTCTGCTCCCCACCAGTTTTCAGAGAACAGAGAGAACCAGAGGCGCTGCCTGGCTGCCGGCTCCATCAGAACATTAGTCGGTCACCTGCTAGGCCTCCCCTCAGCACTCATTGCCTCACTTCGTCTTCCCAACCACGCTCCCAATTTTACAGAGAAACCCAAGTTGAGGGAGGCAAAGTAAATTATCCAAAGTCACAGACATGATAGATATGCAGAGTCAGGGCCCCAAATTCCTCTTAACCACTTTGCCACACTGCCTCTGGGGTTCATGCTTTAAGGACCACCTCAACCCCCAGAGGAATGAACCAAAGAGAGCAAACTACTGTGAGCGGGAGCAGACACTGAGTTCCCCACAGCTGAGGTCACCACTGTGGTCTGACGGATGAAGTGGGACATGCCGGGAGCTTCACGACAAGTGGCTGAGTTACCCTCCCAGAACTCAACAGTCACACCTAGAATGATGATAGATGATTGATACACAGACAGACAGACAGACACATGCATCATGACAGAAGATAAACAGATGATGGACAGGGAGGTAGGTAGATGATAGACATAGAGACACAGACATGGTGGACACATGGAATTATACATTCTAAATATAACCTTGGCTTTTCAAAAAAAAAAAGTGTTCAGGTTGGTCTTCATTTTCTGAGGTTTAGCCCCCCTAAGAGGTTCTCCCTGTTCTCTTCAACATCCCCCTCTCAGTTGTCAACCCCATTCTTCCTCTACTCCCCTCATCCAGCCCTTCATGCATCCCCCTGGTGATACTCTTTCGCTAGGGATTATTATTCACTAGAAAATATTTAATGGGACTTTGTTTATTTCAAAGTTTTAATTTGTCACTTTGGTATAAAACCATTTTGAAATTACAACCTTAGTTGATAGTTGATGACAATATTATTTTGTGGCACTTTTTCTACATCTGAATACTGTATATAACATATGAATGAGAGGCCTCCCCTGGTAACTCAGTGGTTGAGCCCTGGCCTGCGAGCTGCCCACAGCCTCTGCAATGCCGATTTGATCCCCGGACACTGGGCAAGGGTCCCACATGGCAGGACAGACCTCTCCTGCCGTCTGCTGCTCCCCTCCGCAGTGTATTTGTCAGTCTTCCTGTTCTGTTCCCCGTTCTGGCTCTGGTGGATTCTCTCACCCTTCCGTGATTCTGACTGTACCCAGTACTTATATAAATAAATAAATCTTTAAAAATTAATTAACATATGAATGAATGAGGTTCTCCCTGGTGGCCTAGGGATTCAGTCTCAGTGCTATTACTGCTATGGCCTGAGTTCAATTCCCAGCCAGGGTGCTAACCCACATATATGGTGCAGCAGACCTCTCCTGTCTAGCACGCTGCTGCCCTTAGCAGTGTATTTCAGTAAGTCCACCTGTTTTGCTCCCCACTCTGTCTCTGGTGAATCCTCTCACCACTCCACATCTGGCTTATACCCTACTTCTATGCAAAAAAACAACCTGTGAATAAAGGATAACAATAAAATGGACAGCTGTGAACCAGCCCCCCAAATAAGCACTTGACTATCACCAACACCATCGTTACCCCTCCCTATCAGTGGCCACCTGCATGCTTTCACCCGACAAACTGAACTTTGCGGGCACACTCACCCAGCATCGTACTTGAGGTGACCAAACGTATACCTTGGCACAGACTCAACAGTGATCAGTAATTTTCATCTCTTCTTGGGGTTTTTCCCTTATTTTGAATTGTGTAAATAGCATCTGAATCTCTCTCCTCAAAAGCTGAGCACATTTCTGGCGAAAAAGTCTCTGGCAATGACCAAAAAAGGGTTGTGTGACAGTGTCCCAAGTCCAGTGGTACAAAGAACTTTCCAGAAATGTCAGCTCCCAGGAAGCCACACTTGAGTTCCAATGAATTCAAGTGGTATTATCGACTACAAGCAAATAGATTTGGGGTAGAATGGGGAGGTCCTGTTGGTTAAATAGGTAATTCCCAATGTCTGCTCAGACATCTTTCACAGGCAGCAGCTAGAGCTCTGATAGGTACAGATGAGGTGCCCGCCCCATGCTCAGTATGAGCACATGAACGCATGTGGGGGTCTGTACAGTGTAAGCTTAAAACACTGCTTGATGTTCGCACTCACTTTTGTGTTTTCCTCTGAATGGGAACTAACTCAAAGGTTGTAGCTGGGGAAACCAGCAGATCTGTCTAAAAATCTTGAAAATGCAAGATCAGTGAAAGTAGATGATGCCCATGGAGCTATTATTACCTACAACAAAGCTCAGTCTAGCCTGGGGAGGCATGAGCTCCAGCATAGTGCTCCCTCCGAGCTCACCCGAAGTGCCACAGGACAAGCAGGATGAGACGTCACTCACCCTGGCCCGCTGACACTAACTCTCACAGCCCTGGCCTCCTGGCCTTCCACGGAGCTGACGTGCAGTAGAGCACAGTGACACCCACGTGGGCATGACCTATACCACTGCCAAGACAAGAGCTATCTGTGCTAAGTGGGCAGGATTGCTGGGAAGGGAGGCAGAGGGGAGAGATTTGCTGGTAACCTTCCCATATTTTAAGATACAGGAAAAAACGGGGTCACATCTGGAATGCCCCACATCTCCTCTGGCAATAGGATTGTCCTTTTTCCCACAAATTAGCAGTAACACCTGTGATTAATGACGTTTCACTTACAGCTGACTGCTGGCTGGCAGCTGCCATTGCCTCCCTGACGCTCAACGAGAAAGCGCTGGCCAGAGTGGTCCCCCAGGACCAAAACTTTGGCTCCGGTTATGCTGGGATCTTCCATTTCCAGGTAAGTGAACTTATGTCACTGGGGCGCAGTGTGATGTCAGGTGTTTCTGCAGCTGCTGGTCATCAGGGGTGCCTTTTCCTCTTGAGAGAGAACTGGCCGGAGAGCTCTGGAGTGTCCACCCCGGCTGTGAGGGGACCGCGCAGGGTCTTCAAGCCCATGTCAGTGGCGGGTGGGATGCTCCGCACGTGGCTCCGTGGACAAAGCACAGTTGACCCATCGCAGAACCCACATGAGAGTTTCCTCCAGATCTGAGGGAGAAAAAGCAAAGTGATAACGTGGGCAAAGGGGGGCTGGACCTCCTGTGAGACTCAACCCTGCAATCTGTCTCTGCCCCGGGTGACAGCTCTGGCAACACAGCGAGTGGGTAGACGTGGTGATTGATGACCGGCTGCCCACCTCCAAGGACCGCTTGATCTACCTCCACTCGGCCGACAACAACAAGTTCTGGGGCGCCCTGCTGGAGAAAGCCTATGCCAAGTGAGTGTCGCCCAGCGCGGGCAGGCCCCTGTCCCAGGGAGGCCAGTCTCCCTCCTGGGTCCTTTTCAGGGCACAGCCGTGGAGAGGGACACTGAGGCTCTGGGATGGCACGTGTGAGGCGGCAGGGCCACCCGCCTGGGGCCCAGTCAGGGCTGAGGTGGAACAGGAGTGGCTGGGGCAGCTTGCTGTCGGGGTCTAGCTGTGCCCATCCTCAGACACATGGCGCATCCCTTTCTGCCCCTGCATGTGGATCCTGCCTTTGGCAGCAGCCAGAGTGCAGGGATGTTTCTGGGCGACGTCCCTGCCAGCACAGCCAGAGCAGAAGCCTCAGGGCTCCTGGCCAGTGGAGACTGAGATGTTACTTTCCCACTTTGGAATTCTCCTTTATAATTTTTTAAATTGTAAATTGACTGTTTTAACCATTTTTAAGTGTATATTTCAGCGGCATTAAGTTCATTCACATTGTTGGGTAACCATCACCCACACAGCTTCATCCTGCCAGACTCAAACTCTGCACCATTCAACATTACACCCCCTCCCCGCCCCCCAGCCCCGGGCCCACCCTGCAACTTTCTGTGTCTGGATGTCACTAACCTAGGAACCCCGGCTAAGTAGAATCTACACAGTCATTTCTAATCACCCGACTGGCCAGAGTTCCAATGGCAATGCCGCTTTCCAGCCCACCAGCTAGTCAGCAGCAGCCATGATAGCAGAGCTCCCACGGGATCCCCTTGGACTCAGCCTTTATCTTCAATTGTGGAAATGCGTCCTCAGAGACAGGAAGCAGGGAGGAAGGCCATGCTTCTACCTCCAAGTGGGTATGTAAGTGGCCAAATAAAGTGAATGTAAACTGAGGCTCAATTCATCCTGAAATCATCAGGATGGGATTAAACCATGAAAGAACCAAAGGTGCTCCTTTGCCCACATGCCCACCTGGTCTGCATAAACCCCCTCGGTGCCACTGACAGGATTGGGGTGAGCAAATGGGATGCTTTCCAGGCCTGGTGGAGGCAACCCAGTCCTTCAACGAGTCCTACCATCAGGGACCCCTCCTCTAGGGTCAGCTTCTCTGCTTGGGGCTGGGTTGAGTGTGGTTTCATTCTCCAGGAGCTCAGAAGAGGGAACCCCTCACCTCTCTCCACCCCAAGCTATGCAAAAGGCTTGAGTCAGTTGGTAGGATTTGAAACCTTTGCCTCAAGGAGAATACGTTTCCTAAAAAGAAGGCAAATTAGCTCATAGAAATATGTTCAACATCATTTGTCATGAAGAGACTGTAAATGGGGGCCTTCCCGGTGGCCCAAGGGATTAAGCACAGCACTATGGAGCAATCCCCAGCCTCTGCAGAATGAGTTCAATTCCTGGCCTGCCAGAGGGACCCACATGGCTCAGCAGACCTCTCCTGCCTCTCCCGCTGCTCCCCTCATCAGTGTTTTTGGTCAGTCTGCCTGTTCTGTTCCCCACTCTGTCTCTGGTGAATCCTCTCACCCCTTGCATCTCTGGCCTGTACCCCAGCTCTTGTATGCATACATAAATAAATCTTTTTTTAAAAAAAGAAACTGCAAATGAAAACAATAGTGAACATTGCCACACCCCTACAAAGTTTATTTTATAACTCAAGCAGAGTATACACCCATAAAGTGTGTGTCTATATGCACATTCTGTGTACAGGTATGTGTATGTTACATGTACAGACATGCTACGTATGCAGTTGTGTGATTGGGAATACCTGAGACCAGGCGGGAAAAGTTCCTTACCTCTCTGTCTACACGACTAATTCTTTCTTGGTCAGGTCCTATGAAGAGAGAGACTTATTTAAACATCACAGCAGTCCTAGAGGGGAGAGGACAACTGTGACCCCACCTTTTGCACATCATGAAACTGAATCATGAGCGGGTTCACACAAGAACACTCAGCTTGTAAGAGGTGGGTCTGGCTCTTGAACCCGCAGTCAGAGTAACCCACACCAGGCTCCTATCTCACAGACATTTCTTGTGTCTTCAGTGCATCAAGTAGACCCCAAATCCTACTTCCCATCTTCCTTCCATGCCACCCAGCCAGGGCAAGCCTTGGGAGGTTTCTGATTCAGTTAGAAAAACCTCTGGCTGGGGGCGCCACCTGGTGGCCTTCCTCATCCCTGCAGCCGTTTCCAAACTTCTGGCTTCACAGGTTGAATGGGAGCTACCAGGCACTGGAGAGGGGCAGGACCATCGAGGCCATGGAAGACTTCACTGGGGGTGTAGCTGAGACCTTCACAACCAAAGAGGCTCCAAAGAAATTCTATGAGATTCTCGAGAAGGCCTTGAAGAGGGGCTCTCTGGTGGGCTGCTCCATCGATGTAAGTCGCTCACCTGTCTCTCCCTTCCAAGCTCTCTGCCAGAGTCAGAGGCATGAGCAGGTGCCCTGAGCACACACAGCAGGGCTGGCACTTCCAGGACTGGGGAGTGTCAGTGTTTGTTTATTTTAATCCAAGCAGAAGTTTCTATTTAATGTCTTTCGATTACGAAGCTCAGACACCCTTGCTGTGTCAGGTAGAACAATCTCGACAAATCTCTGTCCCTTTCTCTACCCCAGCGGTGCTGTGTGTCCCCTTCTCAGCTCTGCCCTTGCTCATACAAGCAGCCACACACATTCAGGAACACAGGGCTAGGTTTGATTTAATGAAATGAAACCCTACTGTTTTCTGGAATCTTTGTTGATGTCACACATCATGGAAAATATATCAGTAGATGCTTAACAGTGTTTTTTCTAATCTCTTTCTGTACACACACACACATAGTTTTCCCTCGTCTAGTTGTGACTTATCCAAGTTTTCTGTTTCCTCTGGAGTTAACCATGGGAATTTGTTCTTCACTACTAAATGACCCATCTCCTGGTGTTTTCAAGCTGGTGACACGGAGCTGAGTGTAACACAATGTCTCCTTGTGCATGTGACTGTGCACCTCCATGAGGGGATGATCAGAAAGTTCTGTTTGGGGCCAGAAAGTCAACTCTTTGTTGGGAACGAGGGGCTTCTCATCCTGGAGAGAGGCTGGGAATGCCTCATTGTCACTGCTAAGGGGCCTCCTGTGGAACATTTTGAGTGTTCCTTCCTCCTGGGGAGCAAAGAGGCCGGGCCAGGCAGAGCTGGGTCTGGCCTGGTAGGGGAGTGACTTACACGATGGGTCCAACAGTGCTATTTTCATGTTTTAGGCCAGAAGTACTGCAGAGTCCAAAGCAGGGGCACCTTTGGGTCACATTATGGGTCATTGCTACACTGTGACGGGAATTGATAAGGTAGGTGACGTGCAGTCCTGCTGGAGGGTGCAGGCACAGCCGTGACCATGCTCATCCTTTTCCTTAGTGCATTGAAGCTTAAACTGAGCTTTCAGACTTCAGAGAATGTGTCATCTAGAGGAAGCAGCCAGCATGCAAAACAGCAAAACAGGGAAGAAAGCAACAGGAGCTTCCATCATAGTTCCCAACTTGTGCAGCAGATAGGAGAACCTGGTCTTTGTTTTTCTTTTCTTCACTAATTTCACTTCAATCCTGTAATAGCGTTCTCTAGAGAAAAGACTCAATAGGATGGATGGGTGGGTGGTTGGCTGGCTGTATGGCTGGATGGTAGGTAGAGATAGATGGATAGATGGAGTTTGGTACAGATACAGATACACAGTGGACCCTTGATGCAGGGGCACTAGATGCCCATAACTGTTGACTCCTCAAAAGCTTAACTGCAATTGTCCTTTAATGTCTGTGGGGTATTGGTTTTAGGGCAACCCTCCACCCCTATGGATACCAAAATCCACAGATGACTAAGTCCCTTATAGTAGGTTCTCCAAATTCAAGATTCAACCAACAAAGCAACATTCAGGTTTGGTTGAATCCGAACTTGGAACTCTCTGATAGAATAAAATACAAGAAAGTGGAGCAACTCAGTTCATTCACACTGATATTGTTTTGTCATGTGTAGTGTGATGTATGTGTGTATGTACATATATACCTGTGTGTGTATATACATATATACCTCTGTGTATAAACACACATACATATATACCTATATCAGGGGAAACTGCTCTGAGAGCTCAAATTTCTGGCTAGTTGATGAGTAGAAGTCTATTTTCTCTTTCTCCAAAGCCCTTGTGAACTGTGCAGTTCCTGCCCCAGAGCAGAGTAAGGACGGCTGGCTGGGCTTTCTTTCCTGACTCCGGGCTATTGATGTGGACGGCAGAGAGCCTCAGATAACACCTCAAATGGGAGAATATGGGCTTTGGAAGACTTAGACGTGGTTTTTATTTATTGTTGCTGTTTAAATTCCCAAAATGTATTTCTATGCTTGTCGTTCAGCTGTGAGTAAGAGGCAAAGGATGAAGGAAAGTCAGTAGTAGCTCACTGAGCGCTTGTGAGAATTACTCTTCACCTTTCCCTGTGGATTCTGAGGCTCCCCAGATAAACAAGTCTCTAGGGAAATTGCAGTCTAGCAAGTCACTCATTCATTTGAAGATTCATATCATGTTAGCCACTATGTTTAGCAGGACAATTCCGAGGGCAAGTTAAGAATGAATGAGTTTTGACATGTTTTTAATGTATGGAAGTCAAGAGTCTTCCAGTAAAGCCAGCCCCAGCTGAGAGGATCCACTCCGGAACTCACACATGAACTGATAGTTTCACATTCCCCTGCTGCCTTTGCCTTCCAGGTAAACTTCCGAGGCAAGAAAACTGAGCTGATCAGAGTCCGAGACCCTCGGGGCTGGACCAAGTGGAGTGGGCGGTGGAGCCACAGGTGGGTCCCCACCGCGTGTCTCTGGCTGGCGCCCACCTTAATGCTGCTCATGGGGTCCAGTGGGCCAAGGCTGGCTGGTGTGTCCTGGGAAGGAGGAGAAGTTTGTCTAACGTGCTCCCCTGGCTTCTGGGTGACCTCACCTCTTTCCCCTTCATCCCCTGGGGCCCGCCTTGCAGTCAAACTTGACTCTCAGGGAAGACTCTTAGAGTGGCCTTTTATCTTCCCTGGGATTGTTTTCATGTCGGTGACTGTATTGCCTCCCATCCCCATGCATCCTGGGTCTTTGTCTCCACATTTGAGTGGCCCCAGTGAAGTGTGTGTGTGTGTGTGTGTGTGTCTGTGCGTGTATGTGGTAGCAATGAGTATTTTGGGCGTGACAATCCCTGAGTCAGTCAGCCAGCAGGTCAGTACAGGATTCTCTGGCCACTGGCCAGAATCCCAGTGTCCCAGAAGAGGCAGACAAAGAGGAATAGGAAATTCAGCCACTACGACTGCTCTGATGACCAGCATTATTTACTTGACTCCAATTATAGGAAAGGTCTTCCTTTTGTTATAGGACAGCCCCGATATTAAACGGGTTCCTGGCTGTGGGTCCTCACCGGCGCGCTTTAAAGGGACTTATGAATACTCTACTACAGACACACACAAAGGGTTAATAAAAGGTTTATTTACAAGAGAAAAGGAAATAAGGAAAATGTACAACTCAGGGAGAAAATAGGGAAATAAAGTCTTTAATGTGTCCTACCCGATCCTACGACCTGGAAACTCAAAGTCACTCTCAGAGCTGGCCGGACGGTGCGAGCTGGCGGAGAGCCAAAAATGGGGGACCCTCCAAAGCCCACGTGTCTGCCTTTTATATCCACCTGGCTGCTTAACCCCACCCTCAGGTCCCAGCCACCTTCCCTTTGGTGGTGATGGGATTTGGAGTTCCCAGTGTTTTTGACTTTGACCTAGGGTGGGGGTGGAGTCCACAAAGCCTATATGGAATTAGCTTTGGGACATCCTTTTCCCCCTAACACTTTCAGGCCTGTGTCCCCTCCATGTCCCTTGAGAGGTGGCCCCGGTGCCTGGGATGATGGGCTGTAGCAGGTGTGCACAGGCAGGATGCACCCTGACCTGTCTCTACCACCTCTCTCTCTCCTTCCTCACCCAGAGCTCTGGCCAGCTTGGGCTCTTACTGGCCTCTCTGCCCACCTGCAGCTCCTGGGAATCTAGGGAGTCTGTACAAATCTAGAACTTGATTAAAGTCAAGTCCGTGTTTGTCCTCAGCTCAGACAATTCTCCAGGGGGCGCCAGTCATCTGTGTGTCTGTGGCTTTATTAACCAGACTAGCTTGAGGGCACAAGACTGACACTGAAGTGTCCCCCATCACTGCTCCCTCCTGCCATCCCCACCCTCTCCTGCCTTCCACTGCCTCAGAACCAAGGGACTTTGGCAGAAACTGATTCACACCAGACCCACATCAAAGCAGGCATGAACTCGGCCTTCCTCTCCTGGCGGAAAGGGAAGGAAGAGAAATCACGAAATCAAAAGGAATGAGACTGCTTTTAGCTCATAGGATTTATAGAGTCCCTTAACTCAGGGAACAGAGTCTCTAAAAGGACAAAGGCTACTTTTTCCTTTCCCTGAGAAACATGATGAAGAGGGAGAAGTGGGTTTACTGGAACACAGCTGGGGACTGCCTGCCTCCAGGCAGCCTTGGTGGGATGGGAGGGTCTGTCCCCACCCTGCTCCCAGATCCTGATTCTGCCTGGTGCCAGAGGGAGGCTGGAAAGCTCAGCTTAGCCTCTGGGCCCATTATGTGGGTGTGAGCCATTGGAAGAAAATGGCCCAAAGGAAAAATCAAGGCTCTTAGTTCTGTTCTTCAGACCCCACCAGGGGCAACCTGGAGAGAGGCTCTGGGTTCATTTGGCTCTTCTGAGCCCTCCCCCAGGAGTCAAGACCCACGGGGTGTGGGGAAATGGTTCCCCCCATGAGAGTGCTGAGGTGGTGGTAGAGCCATTTGAACTGCACTTGGTCCTTCAACAGCACAGGTTTAACTGTACACGTTCATTGTACTCAGATCTGTTACCTCTCAGCAGCTTCTGAAGCAACTGATTCAACCAACCTTGCGTGATGGTTGGCTGAATCCTCAGATGCAGAACCCTCAGGATAAGGAGGACTGAGAATAAGTTCCATTTGGATTTTCTACTGCACAGGAGGTTGATCACCCCAAGTTGTTCAAGGGTGAACTGCTTCTGGAGACAGGGGTGAGTGTGTGTGTGTGTGTGTGTGTGTTGGAGGGAGGAGAATGTCCCAAAGAAGCAGTGGCCTTAGAGGTGTCATTCCCAATCTGGAGGGCAGTAGGTAGCTGCTCACCTGAGGACAGGCAAGGCCCCCTGGCAGAACACGATCCAGCTTCCCAGGGAGGTCGCAGAAAGAAAGTACTTGGTAGATCAATGTCAAACAAGCTTGTCAAACATGTTATGATTATGACTTTTCAAAGTGTCAGCTGACAAAGAACAGGGGTCAAGTGAGTTTCCCTGCCTGTGGTGGTCTCATGAGAAGCACCTTCTTCCATTGGCTGCGCTTGGAAATGCACTTTCTGACCAATCTCAAAGCCTCTGGCACATTTCTGGGGTCCATGGTATGGTCACTGACCAGGATCTATTCCTTTCATAACCACACACCCTGGTTCCTAGGAAAGGGTGCTCCCCCAACCCAAGGCCAGTACTGCTCATGACCCACATGCTGCTTTGGTTTACTCCTAGTTCTTCTGAGTGGTGTTCTGTGGACCTTGCTGAGCAAAAGCGCCTGTGTCACCCTGCTCTGGACAAAGGAGAATTCTGGTACAGTTCTTACCTCTTTATTTCTGTACTAACTGCAAAACAGGTATGACAAGCCCCCATGGCCTTTGGGTGTAAAGAACACCCCATTTCTTCCTATCATTTTATCGTGCATTTCAGTAATTCACAGACACCTGTCTCAAAACACTATATCCACCCAGGTTGGCAAAGGATTTAATATGTCACGTGTTGGGGACTCTCCCCATCTTCAGACTTGTTTAGAGTGTCAAGGGAATCGGTGTGATCCAGGAAACAGAAGGCTCATCCTCCCAGCTCTCACCCAGCCTCCCTCCACTAAACCATCCATCATCCAAGTTTGCATTTGAACCTGCAGCCCAGTGAATTTGCATGCAGGCAGCAAGCTGCTCCTGGGGTCACTACCTCCAGGCCCAACTTGGTGACAGGGACCCTTGAAGGCAGCCACCTTTGGAGCATCTCAAAATACAGATCAGTGGGAAGGAATTCTTCATCTGGCCTTTCCACAGAGCTGAACATCTTTGCTAATGGAAAGTTGGTTAATGGCCCTTTATCTCTAGAAATCATTTCAAGTCTTGTTTCTTCCTATGGGACTCGGAAACAGTTGACTCTTTCCAACTCTGCAAGACCACAAATGTCTGATTTCTGGTTCTGTTTCCTTTCATAGCTCACGCCAGTGAATTCTTGCCTGAGTCCTTCCCTTTTTTTCATTTTATATATTTTTTACATCATTTTTCATTTTTGCACAATGTATGCATTTTCATCTTGATTATATCCCCCATACAATTTGCACCCCCCTTATTTTTACCCTAATCCCTCCCCCCTTTTTCCTCCCCACCGCCCGTAGTGTGTCTCTGGTTTATAGTTGATTGTTGATTTTGATTTTCACTTTATTATAATTAGTCTTTTTCCTGGTCCCTTATTTAGGTTTTCTAAATTCCTGCTATGAGTAAGACCATCTGGTATTTTACTTTTTCTGGGTTATTTCACTGAGCATGTTCCCTTTCAGCTCCATCCATGTTGCTGCAAATTGTCTGAGTTTATCTTTTTTGATTGCTGAGTAATATTCCATTGTGTATATGTACCACATCTTCTTGACCCAGTCATCTATTTTTGGGCATTTGGGTTGTTTCCATAGCTTAGCTATTGTAAATAGTGCTGCTATAAACATAGGGGTGCAGGTGCCCTTTTGAATTAATGTTTCTGTGTCCTTTGTGTCATTAGACAGGAGCAAAACCTAGTCCCTCTCATTAGATGCATCCCAAACTCCCCTCCTTTACATAACAAAAGAAAATTTTTATCACTTTCAACACTAAGAAAATTCAAGTTCTGGGAGCCATTTGTCAGGAATTGTGGATAAGGACCAAATATATTAGAAATACACTTTGGTCACCTGATGACAAAATATTTCTTATAAATTAAAATATCACACTGACTTTACACTGATACTGAAACCAGCAATAAGCTCACTTCCTGTCACTCTTCAAAATCAACTGCTACAGCCTCATTTTGGGGGGAAGAAAGTTTTTGGTTTTTTTTTTGTGAGGTCAACCAACAAGGAGATAGGAGCCAAGGCTCAAATCTGGAAAGTAGAAATGATTTTATAGAAATGGAGGTAGAAAGGAAATGAAAGTTAAGAATATAAAGTTTATGGGCTTGAATAAGTCTAATCAAATAGTTACAAATGGATCTATATATGAAAAGTTTTCCAGATTCTTGGGATGGACCCCTTGCTTCTGGATGTGGTCTAATCTGGTCTTTCTTCCTGTTTTCTTGGTTTTGTGTCAGTAGTCTCTTGGTTCTGACCAGCTTGGAATATGGCTTAAGATCAATTTCTTCTGCACACGTTTGTGTCATAGGACTCATAGAAAAGTGTCACACAATGTTGCCTTCCGAAGAGCAGGTTGGAGAGATTGTCAAACATGCACAACTATTCTGGGGATCACCCATGGTTTCAAAACTCCCAAGTTTATATCTGCAGTTCCTTTCCTTGGAATTCCAGATCCATATATTCAAGGATCTACTCAGTATCTCCCTGTGAATATCTACTCACTAGCACATCAAAGGATCACATGCCTAAACCTCAAATCCTTCTCTCCCCAACTTGCTACAACACAGTCTTCTCCATCTTTATCCATCCAACTTTTCAAAACACATAACTTCTTGCCTTTCATTCTTTTCCTCACATTTAATCCTCCAGGCAGTCCTGTAGACTCGACCCTCAAAATATGTCTTAAACCTGATCATTGCTCACAACCTCCCGTCCTACCAGCCTGGACTGACCCACCCTCATTGCCAGCTGGGCAACAGCACGCACTTCATAGCTGGTGACTCCACTTCTATCTGTGCCCTTTCTCATGGGTCAAGGGTTATGGGTAATGTTAACACGTCCTACTGTTTCTCCATCTAATCAGAGTCAAAGCTGAAAGCCTTATGATGACCATCCTGGTCCACCATTATCTTTGAACATCATCCTTTACTGACTTACTCATCTTAAGATCTTGTTCTCCAACTACCTGGACTGAAAAAGTCTTTATGTCCCAACCCCTACACTCCAGGTCTCCACCTGAACAGTCAGAAGTTCCCTTAGCTGTTCATCTAAAATATCCCACACACTGCATGCTTCCCCTTCACCCTGGTTTGTTTTACTTTGTAGTGCATATATATATATATATATATTTTAAGCTTTTCTTCCTAAATTTTAAGCTTTTCTTCCTTTCATCTTTCCTAACCTTTTCTTTCCCTTTTTTTTTGGAGGGGAGGCATTCTCTTCTCCCCAGACCTGATTTCTCCCCAATCCTCCAGGACAGAAGCAAGTGCTCAATAACTGTTGGATGACTGAATGAATGAGTAGGTCATGCAGTGTCATCCCTCCAGAGCATGTCTCTCTCCACTTTGCTGCAGGATGGCATTTACAGACTTCAAGGCCCATTTTGACAAAGTGGAGATCTGCAACCTCACTCCTGATGCCCTAGAGGAGGATGCCCTCCGCAAGTGGGAAGTGACGGTCCACCAAGGAAGCTGGGTGCGGGGCACCACTGCTGGAGGCTGCCGCCAGTTCCTGGGTTTGTAGTCTCCCTGCCCTTCTCTTTGTCATCCCCAAGTGTTGAGTCCAAACCAGGACATCAGTGGATCAGGCCCAGGACCCTAGAGAAGGCCCAAAACATGGAGCTAGACAGAAGCATTTCAGTGATGATTGGGAAGAAAGGATTGCAAAGTTTGGTAGGACTTTGGATAAGAATTGCTCAAGGAACCTCCTTTGTTTTACCACTTGGGTTATCTTCCCTGACAAGTAATAGAAGACACACTCACACTAGTTTAGAAATGAAAAGAATTGGGCCTCCCTGGTGGCATAAGGGGTTAAGTCTCAGCACTATGCAGCTATCTGCAGCCTCTACAGCACGAGTTCCACCCTGCCGCCAGGGAGGTGACCCGCATATGGCACAGCAGACCTCTCCTGTCTCGCCTGCTGCTCCCCTCAGCAGTGTATTTCAGTCAGTCTGCCTGTTCTGTTCCCCATTTTGTCTCTGGTAAATCCTTTCACCCCCACACCTGTGGCCTGTACCCCAATTCTTGTAGGCATAAATAAATCTTCAAAAAAGAAGAAAAGAAATAGAAAGAATTTATTGCCTTACATAACTGACAAGTCCAGAGGAGCAGAGGGCTTCAAGCACAGATCGATCAGTGATATGCTTGTGATAGTCTGTGCTGCTCTCTTTGCTCTGTTGACTTCTCCCTCAGGCTGTTTCACTCTACAGGGATGGGAGGGCAGCCAGCTCCCCAGCCCTCATTCACTGACCTGCTCAGCAAGAACTCCTAAGGGTCATCAGACAAAAGCCCTTAACTTCCCTCTAACTGGGGATTCCTTAAGCCTGCATGCCTGGTGAATGCTGCTGACTGGACTTGTCCAAGTTCCCTGTGGCAAGAAGGAATCATGGAGAACAATCAGCATTCACTCTTGGAGGTGGCCTGAGGTCACTTGTGCACAAATCACACCACCATTGAGTGGGCCCTGGGAAGCAAGCACAGCGCCCCACACTCGCCTTTGAAATGCCAAATGGGAAAAAAAAAAGATGGAACAAATTGCAGTGGACAAAATGCAGAAGAATGTCTTTGAACAGTTGCATGGGAAATGGTTCCAAGAGGTAGAAGGAAAAGAGACCCCTTTTCATTCTCCCAAGGGGTTGTAGAAAATAGGCCAAGAGGGAAATCAGGACAGGGGAGTGGGTAGGATGTGTGTCCCCTTTGTTTTTGTTTTGGGTTTTTTTTCCCAAGGGAAAATAACCTGCCTCTTTTGAATGGCAGATACCTTTTGGACCAATCCACAGATAAAATTTTCCCTGACTGAGAAAGATGAGGGGCAGGAGGAATGCACTTTCCTTGTGGCCCTGATGCAGAAAGATCGAAGGAAACGCAAGAGGTTTGGAGCTGACGAGCTGAAAATCGGCTACGCTATTTACCAGGTGGGTAGATGCCAAATTACAGTTGAGAATCCATGGAGTCCTAAGTTCTTGGTCCCTTTTCAGCCTCACACCTGACACTCAATGCCAGTCCCTCAACTGTGTCCAAATAGCCGAAACCCGCAGCCAGGAAAACCACTTCCCTTCACACTCCTGTTGCAGTGCCCAAGCAAAGATGAGCACCTGAGCAAAGACTTCTTCAGAGACCACACTCCCCAGGCCACAAGCAAAACTTTCCTCAAAGAGAGGGAAGTTTCTGACCGGTTCAAACTGCCCCCTGGGGAGTACATCCTGATTCCCAGCACTTCTGAGCCCCATCAGGAAGCAGATTTCTGCCTGAGGATCTTTTCAAAGAAGAAGGCCATTACCCGGTGAGTTTCAAGGATCCCTCTTTGGTGCTTTACTCCCAGAGATGTCACCAGACGGTGATTGGAGTCGTGGCCCCCTGTCCTCTTCCATGATCTACTTGAGAAACCAGGAGGGGGCCAAAGGGAGGGTCTGAACCGATCAACAAGCAAAGGCATATTTCCAGTTTAGTTCTCACATGAAACAGTTGCTCTTTCTAACTGACCCCAGAACCATGCTCACAAGACACTCTTGGGTGAAGCCCTGATTTTCCAGACTCTATTACCAAGAAGCTTCTGGAGTGGGAGCAACATGAGGGGGATGCCAGAGGTGTTTCTGTGCATGAATAAAGGGGTGACTATTCCAACTCTCAAGAATCACACATTCTTTTTTATTAATAATAAATTTTATTTTTATATTCCCCATACAGTTGAAACCCCCCTTTCTGATCCCAATCCCTCCCCTCCCGCCCCCCCCCCCCCCAAAAGTGTCTCTGTTTCATAGTTTTTTGTTGATTCTGATTTTCACTTTCTTATAGTTATTCATTTTCCTGGTCCCTTATTTAAGTTTTCTAGATTCCTGCTATGAGTGAGACCATCCGGTATTTTTCTTTTTCTTTTTGGCTTATTTCGCTGAGCATGATCCCTTCCAGCGCCATCCATGTTGTTGCAAATTGCATGTGTTTATCTTTTTTGAATGTTGAGTAATATTCCATGGTATATATGTACCACATCTTCTTGATCCAGTCATCTATTTTTGGGCATTTGGGTTGTTTCCAAAGCTTAGCTATTGTAAACAGTGCTGCTATAAACATAGGGGTGCAGGTGCTCTTTGGAATTGATGTTTCTGTGTCCTTTGGGTAGATACCTAGGAGTGGAATTGCTGGATCATATGGAAGCTCTATGTTTAGTAGGTCCAGAAATCTCCACACAGCTCTCCATAGTGGTTGGACCAGTTTGCACTCCCACCAACAGTGCAGGAGAGTTCCTTTTTCTCCACATCCTCGCCAACATTTGTTGTTGCTAGTTTTTTTTAATATGTGCCAAGGAATCACACATTCTTTCAGTTCCATTTTAGTACCCTTTTACACAGCGAACATTCTGCCATCTCTCCCTCAAAATGTCTTAGCAAATTATTTTGTATCGGTTATTTCTGAGGAAGAAGTTTCTCTTTCGTTCATTTACCATTAATAACTCTGTGGCAGGGGCAGGGGGGTGGGTGGTTCAAGTTTCAAGAACCTATTTCTTCTCCCAATGGAGACTCTCTAGGGAACCCAGAGAATGACCAGCTCTACTAATTCTGTTTCTGTTGATTCCCATCAAAGTATCAACCTGAGACAACAAGATGGAGATGACTGTGGCTGCATGGCCTGTTCTGGATAAGGGACATAAGTATTAGAGCTCCTGTTTGTCCTTTGGCATTGTGAATTGCTATTATTTGTTTTGTCTAGTGGCATGGAATTGCACTATGTTGTGTACTGAGTTTCACAATTACAAAGTCTGGTTGGGTTTCCCGCTGACTGCAGAAGCCGTGGTTCTTTCTCGTCAGCAACAGAGAAGCAATGCAATCTTTGATTGTTAAAACTCTGCTGCAAAGTCTTTCTCCAGTCTTCTCTCAGATACTGATACACACTGAGGATGAATTGACCAGTATCCATTCACACAAAAGACCCCTATGCGAGATCCGTGCAGATCGGCAACTCCTGTGGCTGAGCCCATCTTTTACCCTCATGTTCTCTGTCTCTTGGGGGGTGAGGTCAAAGGTCACTCCATTCACACTGCATGTACAATAGTGATTAATGGAAGGTGATATTGAACATAAAAAATGTGGCGTATAATCTGCTGTGATAGTGAGTATCATACACATGTACCATCTGCTGTGATACCACAAGTATCAGTAACAGACACAAGTAGCTCAGTCACAGAAAAGCCACCTTCAGCTCAATTTCCCTTGGCTTCATCCTCACTGGAGACTCCTAAACTATAATGAAAAGCTCTGAAAGGGTTATGTTGTGGAGGCCCAGGGGGTGAGGAGGTAAAGGGGACTGTCCTGGTTTCATCTTAATGTTTGATTATTTTTTTCCCTTTGAATTTTCTTTAATTTGTCTTTGGAAATGCTTCGGATTTAATCTGTAAAACTGAGTTCTTCCAGGGCCTCCCATGGTGGCGCAGGGGCAGTCGGCGAGGATTCCACATGCCACGGCTCAACAGTGTCCTCCCGCGATGAGGCTGTTTGCTCCCTGCTCTGACTCTGGTGAATTCTCTCACCCTCCTGCGCTTCTGACTGTACCCAGTGCTTGTATATATAAAATAAACAAATCTTAAAAAAACAAACTGAATTTTTCCAGATATTTTAGTATTTGACAACTGAAGCCTGCTCCTCCTCTAATCTGACTACTTCCCAAATGATGCGGTTCCCCTATATGTGTGGGCAGCAAAGTAGACCTGCTGTCACGGTTCTCCTGATTCCACCTGTGAGCAGAGAAACACACCCTCCCAGTGGGCTCAGGGGTTCACATCCATGGGGGAAGGGACAAGGGTAAAGAATCCAGCTTCAAAAGTGATGTTGTTGGTTCCACCTCAACTTGCTCTATAAGCTTTTAAAAGTTTCCCACGAATGATTAACCTTCAACGAGCTGAGTGTCTTCTTTCACAATCCAGAATTGCCAAGTTCTGCTTGGAATGATGACCACCTGGTCTTCCTCGAACTTTCATGCTGAGCAAGGTCTGAGTGACGAGTGGAGAGGGAGGTCCGTGCCTGGAGGCTGCACACCCTGTGAAATGCAGTCACAGAAGAGGAAGGCTTCTATGGCACAGAACCTTCCAGCACCTCTGAACCCTGTAGCTCAGCAGCGTCTAATGGGGAAGTGAATCTATGATTATCAACATGGTTTTTGTGCCCACAGGGACATGGATGGAAATGTAGACATTGCCCTTCCTGAGGTGAGCCTTCTTGAGCTACTGTGGAGGGTGGGATTAGCGACTGCTCTGGAAATTTCCTTCAGACCATAACATCACTGAAAATTCCAAAGTTTAAGGAGTGGTTACCATTATGCAAGGAAGTACCTTAATTTTAACCTCTTGGAGAACAAAAGTGACCTTTCTTCCACCAGAACTGCCCACTCCCTCTGTTCCCTGAGAGGTTACTGATGGTTTTTAGGTGGATGGAATCTCTTTAAAAAGTATGCAATTTCAGAAAAGCAACTGATAAAACAAAAATGGGAGAAGCAGGTAGAATTTTTGACTGTGGGCTTGGGGAACACACCAATTCTCCCTGATGTTGTCTGTTGGGAGAGAGGTAGGGGCTGGTTTTATTCTTGTCCAAGGGTTGTAAGGCTTCCAGGAGATGCTGATGTGACCAGAACATCTGACACCCCCATCTCGAGCAGTGACCAGTTTTCAGGAAGGACTTTCTTCTCCTTGCTGCCCTCTCTGGGATGCAGCTCATGAGCAGACCCGAAACAAAACATCCAAAACCTTTACTGACCTTTTGCCATGCACCAGGCCCGGTGCTCTGTACTGGAAAGATCCTGCCTATAAAGATTTACCACCTACTGCGACAATGATGAAGCAGGGAATGATAGTCAAGGTGGTGCAGTATGCCCTGGAAGAAGGGGAGGGTGATGGCAGCCCTGGATGGACCAGGCCTCTGCCAGCAGTGAATTTTCCAAAAGTCCTCTCATCTGTCAGGTGAGGAGTGCACCACCAGTCCCAGGAAGTCCTTCCAGACGTTTCTTCTAATGAGCCCTCACAAGGAGAGGAAATTCTCTTTCCTAATGCTACTGGCTGTGGCCAGTCCTGGGCACCACCCAGCACAGGCATGTGAGGCTGCCATGGAGGTCCTGACCTCTCCCGCAGCGGGCGGCACCACCTCCTGCCCAGGGCTCGCCTTTCCTGCTTTTTCTTTGGGAAACTAAATGTCCATTTCTCTCTTGTGGCTCCCAAGCAAGTTCCTCTGGTTCATTTTTAGCCTCAGAAGCCAACTTCGCCTGCTTGGGAGAAAGAGGAGGAGCAGCGGTTCCAGGCCCTGTTTGAATAAATCACTGGTGAGGTAGGGCTGCCCGTGCCCTCGATGCCCTGCAGGACCGAGGGGCCTGGCCTCCCTGTCCAAGGATGAGGGGACACTTCCCAGAGACGGACCCAGAGGCAGGCAGGAGCTGGCGGGGAGAAAGCAGCCCTGTTCTCTAGAGAAGGGCTGAGGACGGCCTCCTCCTCACAGCTCTCACTCCAGACTGCACTGATGGGGCCACCGCACCCAGCGGAGCCCAGCCAGGCCCAGAAACTTTGTGTGGGAACTACAGGAAGCCTTAGGAGGGGATTCCTTTGACCTTTGCCCAGAAATTGGCACCTTCATCATGCTCTCTCTGCTCTGCTGAAGGTGGTGTTGCCAGGACAGTTGCTGTGATGCCACCAATGCATGCCCGCATTTTGCCACTTAACAGAGATGTGGCCAGGTTTGGCAGTTGTGGATCAGGCAACCTGGAGCGTCTGTGCCCTGCTTTCTGCCCTTTCCTGCCTGTTCCTACCCTCTCAGCTGCTCAGCTTGCTTGCTGGAGACCCTGGCTGTTTGGGGTCGGGGGAGTGGGGGTCTTCCCTGTCCTGCCCAGGCTTCCAATGCCCTTGATACTGCTCTAGGCGTGTTCCCTTGATACCTCTCAGCTGGTAGTTGTAAATAATATTGGCCTAGGTTTAAGACTCTGTATTTCTCTCAAGCTTCTGAGCGCAGCTGGTGCTGAGATTTAGTGGGATTTACTGGACCATCTAGGTCAATGGTTCTGCAATTCATCCCCAGAGCTTTGAAAAATAATCAATGAAGCATACTCCCGGTTGTCCTGAGCAAAGTGGGATAAGCCCCAGTATGGGCATTCTTGAAGCTCTCCCGGTGCTCTTGCTGTGACAGAGGCTTGGACACTCAGATCCCAGTGTCCTCTGACACGGGAGCCATTTAGGGAGCTTGGGCTCAGGGCTGGGGGAAGCATGCTTGGGCTGGCCTGACTCACCTCCCTCCCTGGGTGGCTGGAAGGTCCCAGAGAAGTGAGCAGGCTGCGGCCAACAGTGCAGGGCACCCGGGAAAGCAACAGGGTGCTGAGGGATGGACTAGCTCTCGAATTAAGCTCATCATTGAAAGAAACTGTAAGAAGATACTGAGTCACAAACAGCAATTTTCTCCACTTCAACAGGACATGGAGGTGACAGCAGAAAAACCCAAATATGTTTTAGATGCTGTGCTGCAAAAGAGTCAGTGTTCCCACCCACCACCCCTCAGAAATCCCCCGGGCTCCCATGGAATAGTGGACACATGATGGGCACCCATCTTGGTTCTGCTCTGCTCCCCAGGCTCCCTGCTCCAGGACTGAGTTCAGGCAGACTTTAAAAATAGCTTTGTGGCTTCTTTCCTGGTTCCAAAAATGATGCAGGTTTGCAGGAGGAAATTCTTTAAAATGCAGAAAAGATTATGACAAAGTTACAATAAGAGTCAAGGTGGCTATACTACTGTCAGGCAAGATAGACTTTAAGATAAAAAAAAATGTTACTAGAGACAAGGAGGGACATTTCATCATGATAAAAGGTAAACGCATTAGGAAGATAGAACAATTGTAAATGTAATAGTACCTAATAGCAGAGTCTCAAAATTTAGGAAGCAAAAATGAATAGAATTAAAAGACAAAATAAACAATTTAACAATTACAGCTGAATACTCCACTTTCAGTAGTTGATAGAACTACCCTGTAGATTGTCATTCAATATTCAGACAATCATACAATTTGGTTTCCTCGTCCCCCTAAGACACATCTTAAAACAACCCAAACCGAATCTCCAAGGGCTCATGAGCTAGCTGAGGAGCAATTTGAAGCCAATGCCATCCACTTTCTGTTGGAGCAAAAATCGGATGAAGATATTGAAGCCTCAGTTGGAGGAAGTGGAGTTCTTTCCAATCTTCAGAGTCTATGATTTCATTAAAAAACCTGAAATTATTCTCATAATAGTCTACGTGATTAAGGAAATTTTAAAAACAATCTTCTCTACTGCTGCCATTTTGAAGTGAAATGAGCTGGAAGCCTAAGGAGTGGTGTTCCTCGTGGGATGGCAGGTTGCAGTGTGGACACCCCCTCTGTGAGCAGTGCCTGTTCACATGGGCCAGCTCCGCTCAGAAGGGTGACCCAGCTTTCTGGGATGAAAACTGCACAATGGGAGACACAGTGAAACGTGTGTATTTGGTAGCAGTGCTTGACACATTCTAAGTCCTTGGGGAAAGACAATATAGAAGGAAAAAATTCTTGGGCCACAGCCAAGAACATCACTCCTCCAGCCCATTCCCTGGGGCGGCAGAGGTGACTCCCCCACGCATCTCCCCACAGGCCTGTTCCCAGACACAACAGTTGCAGCCCTGCGGTCACATCTAAAGAGCCTGCACCCAACTCAGGGAGTGAAAATCTTTCCTCACAAGTCCTTACACTGAGTCCCTCGGACCTCAACAGGTGGGAGCCATGGGCCTAGATGGGAAAGGCAGAAACTTCTCCCGGCTGCTTTCTCTGTCCTGTCCTGTGCAGGTGCACTGAGGGGCAGGGATTCAGAAAGTGCCAGTCATGTGACCTGTTGGCAGGAGTGCTGAGGTTATTGGTGCCAGCTCAGTTCAGTGCACTGGATCATTTGTGATAACAAAGCACCATTGTGCTGAGAGCCAAGACCTCCTGCCAAGTACCAGTTGGAGGGCTGTGCCTGTGCTGGCACTGCTGTGAATCAACAGTAGGCTGTGCTTGCTACTGAGGCCCGCCTGGAGCATTTTCTCAGCCCACAGTGCCTTTCTGTGAGGGAAGGGGCTGGGGAAATGAAAGTGGGACTAGGGGGAGAAAGGGGGGTAGAAGTGTGAGGAGAAAGGGGGATGGGGAGGCAGAAAGAAAGAGACAGAGGGATGTCGAGGGAGAGAAAGACTCCCCTGGATGCCTGAATGACACTTGAAGATGGAAGAACTTAGCCCAGGGATGTTCCTGAGGATTATCCGTACACACCACGGAACTCTGCTGGGGGAAAGAGTCTCTCTCTCGCCAAAGAAAGGGGAAAACCATCGTTAGGTAACTGAGCCATATGAAACAAATACACAATCATATTATGGAAATGACACTGGATTTGCAGTCCAGAAACGAGTATTCTTGTCTGGAATTTACCTCCAACCAGCAGGTGACCTTAACCACCTCACTTCACCTGTCTGGGCTGCCTTGCCCTGGGCAATTGTATGGCTGCTTCCTTAACTCCGGACCTCGAAGGCAAGGCAAGCCCTGGCTCCACGGGTCGGAGACAGGCAGAGGTGGGCCCGGCAGGCCTCAGAACTCATTGATGTGATTCCTAAGAGGGTTCTGAGAAGAAGGAGACCGTCTAGAGGATTCTCTAGGCATGTCAAGTCATGGCTGCTAAAAACACTTTGTAGACAGTCCTTCCTTTCAGCATCTCAACATACAAAGCTCCTCTGTCTTCGAAACTCACTAGAACTCAACTTACCCATTTGGTTTCAACTTTCCTTATGGCGGTCCTTCTGGAAGTGGAAAATGTCCAAAGTTATGTTGAAGTTGATAGTAAAGGGGAAGGCAATGGCACAACCGCTGCAGTGAAAGTCCCATTAGTTACACATTCCAACCCACGTGCAATGAGACACTTTGATTTCCCTCATCACTTGCAAATTCTCCTTTTGTCTGATGGAGTCAGGCTGGCCTTTACACTATCAAGGCTGCATGCGAAGAGTCGGGGGCTGCTGAAGACCAGCTCCAGCTAGATGTCGTGTCATGGGTCCCCGAAAGGAGAGCACTGCGTCAGCGAAAACTTGGGGGGCTGGGGGGATATGGGGTGAGGCAGACACAGTCACTCTTCTATTGGTGCAAGTCTCTCCTACTGAGGGTCTCAGCGGGTCTTTATTTATACTGTAAGGTGAGCAGTGAGATTATATCATCATAAACATTGAAGCAGAACAAAGACAATCAATATGTTTTCTCATGAACATCTAGAGACTCCCTTGGTCTCCTATCAAAAGGGCATTTCTTTGGTTACCTTAAAAAACATCAGGGACAATTAGTTTCCTAAGTACAGCTCATTTTCTAACATGATCAATTATTTAAGACAGCACAACATTTAGTAACAATTAGGCACTCTATTGACCTTTCCTAGTTTCAGAGTGGGCGTGAAAGTCCTATTCTATATTTTATTACTAAAATCAGCCTATGTCCTTAGCACTCAATTAACTTGGCAAATTTATCAATTACTTCAAATTGGCCTAAGCAACTCATCAAATCTATGTTAGTTCTACTGAAATCTCTTAACTAGAAATACCTAATCTCCACGTGGCTTGTGAACTACTGACCTTTCGCATACACCAGGGAATGTACTGCTGCCACAAACACATGCCCCCTGTGTTAGGCTACGGTTTCCAAGCACAGCTGGTTCACGGCAGTTCTCAGAGCCAAAACCTTTCTTTCCTGTCTATACCTTTCAGCATTTTTTACTTTCTTTGATAATGATTCATTCATAAGAACAATAACCCTCTTCTCTGGAGTACAGGAAATCCCCTCTTCTCGGGAGTTTCCCCCAATGCCCGGAACTTGTAAAGAGACAGCCTGGGTAGCTGTTTCTGCCGCAGAAACCCCACTTAGAGTATTAGATTAGTCACATTCAGAAACAGAAGTGAGAATGTGGTTGCTGGAAACAGAGGGGAAAGAGGGATGGACAGTTACTGCTTAACAGCTAGGGTTTCAGAGGGGAGGTGCCCAGCTCGCCTCCTCTACACCCTTATAACCAAATTACACCTAAGCCAAGGCAGCAGGCTGTGTGCCCATGGAGAGAGGGGTCAACAAGACGTGGTCTGTCCACACAACAGAAAACTATTCAGCCACGTGGAGAGACAAGCTATTGCCAATGACAACCAAATGCATGGAATTGGAGGGACTCCTATAGTAACAGGGTGGTCCCCAGGAAAAGGGGAGGTTCCAGGTTCTCTGGCCCAGACCAGGAGAAAGGAGCTGTGCAGGGAGGAGGGGAAGCTGCAGAGGAGACTGGAGGAAGAAGGAAGCAGGATGGAAACAAGGGAAAGTCTGGAGGAGGCACATGGAGCAGAGAGCCACAGTGAAGAGGCTGCTCTTACTTCCTGGTCTTGGACAGGTTGAAACAGATGGGGGTGGAGACCTGGGGTGCAGTGACAGTGGTAGCTTTTTGTAAAAAAAAAAAAATTATTTATTTATACAAGAACCAGGGTACAAGCCTGATGTGCAGGAGGGTGAGAGGATTCACCAGAGACAGAGTGGGCAGAGAAGAGGCAGATGGACTGAGACAGACTGCTGAGGGGAGCAGCGGGTGAGACAGGAGAGGTCTGCTCACCATGTGGGACCCTCGCCAGCTGGCCAGGATTGAACTGGCACTGCAGAGGCTGTGGACAGCTTCACAGTGCGGCGCTCAACTGCCTACACCACCAAGGAGGCCCCAACAGTGGCAGCTTTTATCTTGATTTGGATGTTGCTCTTTTCCTCCCAGACTTGTCTGCCTTTTGCTGACCCTTTCCTATGGGTCCCCACCAGGGCGTGCCTTAGACTGAGGCAGGCTCCCAAGCCCCCAATACACAGCGGGCAAAGGAGCCCCGTAGCCACTTCTCAGAGGAGACCCCTTCTCTGTAGACATGTGCAGATGCTTGGACATCATTATTATTGGAAGAATAAAATGAAACTCAGGGATGAGCCTAAGCATTGTGAGATGGTCCAAGAAAGAACATTCCATGACGCCCAAAATGCAGCAGCAGGTGGTCCCAATTGACAAGAGCTGAGCTGAAGAAGCTACCAGGTGGGGCCACTGAGCAGACCCCACGCACCTCCCAGTGTGAAGACAGGGGTGGGAAACAAGGATGCCAAGCCCAGAAGGACAGGAGGGGACACCAACTCCGGCTGCCAGGGAGGAACCCACATGGCAGACCTGTCCAGTCTCCCTGCTGCTCCCCTCAGCAGTGTATTCAGGCAATTCGCCTGTTCTACCGAAGACTAGCTTTCAGCAAAATGTTGGGTCAGATGTCCCTAAAGGATGAGATGGCCTAGGCGAAACTCTTTAAGGACTGAAGGGAAGGGGAGTGAGGCAGACACAAAACACTCTTATTCTGGTGCAAGCATCTCCTGCTGAGGGTCTCAGAGTGTCTTTATTTATACATTAAGGCAAGCGATGGGATTACATCATCATATGCATAGAAACAAAACAAAACAAACAGTACATTCCTTTCCCATAGACATTTTGTGGCCTACGTGTTTTCAAGAAAAGAAACGACCTTAAAAGTTAATAG